ATCGAAAAGGTGAAAACGGTCTCCCGTACAGTTTTTCACGTAGAATGCAGTGACGTAACTATTTCTTCGTTGGAATCTGTCTTTTTTTAAATTGACTAAAACTTATATGTTTTTTTAAAGACGATATTTTGTATATTATTTTATTTTTCTTGTTACGAGCTTTCTAAAATACATATTTTCATAAACGGGGTAAAATTCATTATTTAACTTTATTACATAGTCGGCCGGTTTAAATTAGGTAATCAAAACAATCAACTAATTTATTCGACGTAAAATGTTGGTTATTGGCATGTTATTTAAAAGCAGCACAAGTTCAGTTTCCGTGTAGTTTCCGTGTAATATATCACGATGCAAAGCAAAATTATCTGGTAAAATTAAGTTAAATAAAATAAGAGCCGTTTAGCAGTTTAGCAGTACCTAAATAAATAAATATAGAGTATATTATAATTTTCGAAAGCTCATAACAAGGCAAATAAAATAAAAAATAATATATAGAGTGTCCTGTTTAAAAAAAGAACATAAGTTTGAGTCATTTTTCGAAATAGACAGCTCCCAACGAAAAACCACTTTCGTCACTGCCATTCTACCCTTTGAATAAGAAGACTAAGGAAGGAGCATAATGCTATCCATGTATTCATGCATGGTGGACGGAAAAGCCACCATAAAAGCTCTCTAGGGTGGGGATCCTTGACAGTTCTGTTTGACGATTCATTTGACACATTTGAATTTGATTTGAAATTTTGTGGATTTGTCAGTCTTTACGGAGCTTATTTTATGTTATTTATTATTTATTCTACTACTGATAGTTGTATAAAGGTAGTAAATCTAGATGGAAATTGTGGCAGAACTTAAATTAACAGTGACACTATCGCGATTTATCGAAAAAGACTCTAAAATAGTTGGTTGTGTAGCGTGCGGTAGATCTCGGCAAAAATTGAGTGAAATAATGGAACAACTTTTCGCTAGTAAGTGACTATATAATATACATACGTGTAGTAAACCGATCATTTATGAAATTCACTTAAATTAACTAAATTATATATTTTTCTTGCATTTTTAGCTTTTATTTGTTACTTGTCAAAGATTAGATGTCAAAGAATTTAGATACGTTAATTTGACTTACCTGCTTCAGTAGCGTATCGGATGTTTGTGTTAATAAATACTTATTATAACTTATCTATTTTTATTAGAATTATATATTTTTATAACAATTTTAATAACTACCAACATTTATTCACAACGTAAAATAAAACAACAAATTATTGAGTCTACCCCACGTCTACCCTACATCATAGTTTTACATTTTTTAAATAAAATTAGAACGACACTGATAAACCGGATTTTAAGTCGGCCATATTTGAGGCCCATCGCGGTGTACCTAAGATTTTTGATATGCTCCTTCCTTAGTCTTCTTATTCAAAGATTCTACCTGAAAAACGAGACACGGGCGGTGGGTAAGTACTCAATGGGTAGAACAAAACAAAAAATCAGGGTATCCGGTATATACCTGTACATTTAGATGAACAGTCTAATTTTATAAAAGGTATTTCCAACGACCGCATAGTAAATACCCGATATAATACCAGTAATATCAGGAATACGAGTATATCTACAATATTTCTTATATATATTGTAGATATTATATATTGGTATATTTCTATTCCCGGTTTTATACCGGGTATTTACTATGCGGTCGTCGGAAACTCCTTTTATTAACATTAGGATGTTCATCTAAATCTACAGGTATATACATATATACCCAGATTTTATTTATCTACAAATTGGGTACTTACCCACCGCCCATTACTGACCCTTTTCACCTTTTCGATAAGTTATAAGATAATCGAGATACAAAGGTTATCGAAAAATGCAAAAATTTCTACTAATTAAAAAGTAAAAGAAAGAAATAAGAAATAACTTTGAACTAAGAAGGCTAGGATAAATACATATTTATCCTAGCCTTCTTAGTTCAAAGTTATTTCTTATATAGCATATTTAGTTTCGTAATAAGTAGAACAATGATGTGAAAACAGCATCTTTTTATCTCTACTCAGAAACCAGAAACCCCATAAAACACACACAAATGGGACATCCTGTACATCTAGCAATCGCCAGTCGATATAAAAGTAATTCACACACAATAGTCTAAAAAATGGAAGAAAAAAACAATACTGTCTATTTGTGAAAAATGCATGTCCATATTTATGTAATCGTAGCGACAAAAATAAAAAAATAGAAATAATGTGTATGATGCCTTTACAAAGATATCTGAAGAAATGGGGATTGACATCATTAACGTTTAATTAGTATGCCATATTTCATGGTTTCGATATAAATTACATAATAAACTTTACTCTATTGTTGACTCGCCTTGTACATTCATACTGATATACCTTGTACATGATACTGAAATATTCGGATTTATTAAAAAAAATATATTATTAAAATTCAGTTTTTATTTTTGACACGACAAAGAATTGCAGTTTTATAAAATAAAAATTATGCGCCTTTCGGATTTTTTAAAAATTTTAGAGGTTACTAGATATTTCGTATTAAACATGTAGCTGCTATATTAAAAATATTTTGTGGTATGTTGTTGCATAACTGACTAATTTCCAAGCATCGAATGGACGAAGGAAGGAAGCGAAGGGACGAAGGAACGCGAGGAAGGAGCGAAGTGTGAGTATGGGGCTTAAAACACACTTTACAAGTAAATAATGAAGCCCCTCTTTAATTTTTTAAACCCATGTTGTATATCGCGTTAAAATATTGCATACACATATAATACCAAAACGACTATCTTTTGACATATTTTTTATGTTAAATGTCAAAAAGATAGCTGGACGCTATTTTGAAAAAACTAAATAAAAAAAGGTTAAGTTATATCTTAAATGAAAGGTCTGTTCATTCTTAATGTATGACCAAATTTTAAATTAAATTAATTAAAATCACTGTCACTTTCCCAAACAAAATGGCGGCCTGCCAAAATTTTGAAAATTCTAAAATAATTTTAGTTTTTATTTTTTTTAAATTTGGATCAAGTTTTTGCTGGATTCAGAGTTCCGTAGCCGTAAGACGTAAGCCGTATCGTTAGCCGTAAGACTTAAGACGCAAGGAAAGCCATTCACAGTTGCCGTAAGACGTAACGATAACTTCATCGTAAGCGTGCGCACTACCGTTTTTAATAGGTTATGTTGTTGTTTGGGCTGTGAATGTTGTGAATAAAACTATAATACTCCTTATTTATTTTGTTATTATTAATTTAATTGAACTAAAATGGACACGGACAATTATATTTTCGTTGCCGAAGTGAAATATCTGTGAAATATTTTATAAAAGTTGTAGAAATGGCTACCGAGTACCACCGAACCTAGCCGACAACACCCGATTCGATAAGACGTAACGGAGGTCCCGACGTAAGTAATTGGTTCATTTCTTACGTCTTAAGGCATACGGCTTACGGCATACGGAGATCTATGAACGCAATCATGTGATTGTGAAGGTCGATATCCCTTACGTCTTAACGATACGGCTTACGTCTTACGGCTACGGAACTCTGAATCCAGCAAGTGTGGGTTTTTATGAATTTTCAACCCTGTGTAACCAAAATGAATATAAGTGAAAATATTTTTTTAATAAAATCCATTGAAGCATTAAACTTTTATGTTGAATACTTTTTTCCCAAACGTCAAATTAAAAAGTTGTTAATTAGGAGGGGTCCATTTAACTGTGAACACCCTGTGCATGCTAAAATTTGTTGACCAAATTAATTAAAAAACACATATTTTTAAAGTTCAGGTTATTTTCTTATTGCAAAATATTTTTTGCCACGTTTCGACGAAAATCGACCAGTGTGCGACGCCTAGTTCGAACTCTTTCACTTATTATTCTACAAATCACACAAACCTCGTACCTCGTACCTGAGTGTTTTATAGTCTCAATAGCCCCCCATACACCAGCGGATAACTTAACCAATTTGATATGGCACGAGCCAAATACGCGGATAAAACTTCGTGTGTATGTGGCGAACCGAGCCGAATCAGGCCGTGCACTATCGCCCACAGATGATATCATGATGATATCACAGGTTTAAACCCGTCAAATTATATTTGGCTGTTTTGCGACGCGTATCAAGTCTTCGAACTTAGTACTTAGTTGAGTTTTGAATTTTGAATTTGGATCAAATAATTAAAAATAATGTCTGCCGACTCACGTTACTTGTCCAAAGAATTTTTAACAGAATTCATAAACATTTACCAAAGCTATCCATGTTTGTGGCAAGTAAAATGCGAAGAGTACATGAACAAAAATTTAAAAAACAAATCATATGAGAGGTTCGTTGAGTATTGTAGGAAAACAATACCCGACGCTAATCGGGAGTTTGTTTCAAAAAAAGTTATAGCGCGTCTTCTACGATTGTTATTCATTTTTACAACTCACTGAGTACAAATATGCCGAGTAAATCTAAGACCGCTGGTTAAATCTTTCAGAACTTCCAAAAGATCGCGAGCCAGATCAAATCTGTTATAAAACGTCAAATTTTGTTCCATTAACAACACGATTTAATCAGGCAAATCTAATCGGGCTATAAAGTCGGTGAGCGAAATTCGAGCTCAAAAATGCCGAGAGTTTTGGTATGTGCCGAGCCTAGTTCGCCGATACAATTCGGACGGATCATATCGGTCCAACTTATATGTTAATGTATGGGGGGCTAATAACTGCACTAGCAAAAAACTAAAATACTTAAATATTATGACAAAACCACTCTATTTCAATATTATTTTAATGTGATCAATAAGACACGGCGGCGGCGCGGCGGCGTGAACTATATATATTGATAATTTCTGATCTTTGTCGTTGAAGCGCCGCGGTCGGAATTTGTTGAAATCGACTGAAATGACAACAAGACTATACCATGCAACGATATGTTTTTCCAAGAACTTAATTTTGTGTACTACTAAAAAGTGTATAACCCTATCATATATATGATGGTCTTCTAGGTATGCCCAGTGCAGTAATAGCCATGTCAGGTACTGCCGTTTCTCGTTGGGCAGTTGACAACGCTCCTGTTAATACAGCTCGCGAAATAGCAGAGGAAAACGGATGCCCTACCCAGAATGATATCACCATGGTCAGATGCCTGCAACAGGTGCCGGCGGATCTGATAATTAAAGTAAGGCAAAGAACAAAGAACTATAATACAACCGTGTTAAGGAAAAAACTAGAGATGTGCAAAACTGCGATTCTCCAATCGCAAATGTAACTGCGATTGGTAACCTGCGATTGCGATTTTAACATTTGCCAAACCAAATTATTCGTAAAAGATGCTTTTTTTAAATATGGCATTTAGCAATCCTCGTTCCATTTGAAAAAATTGAAATTTGATTAAAAATATGATTTGCAAAATAAAAACACTAAATCACCACAATACACCAAAACACTTTTACTTTTACACTGGACGCGCGTTTCGCTAACCATGTTAGCATCATCAGCAGATGATTATAAACTAAAGTATTATTTTAGTTTATAATCATCTGCTGATGATGCTAACATGGTTAGCGAAACGCGCGTCCAGTGTAATAGTATATACTTTTACTTTTACACTGGACGCGCTTTTCGCTAACCATGTTAGCATCATCAGCAGATGATTATAAACTAAAGTATTATTTTAGTTTATAATCATCTGCTGATGATGCTAACATGGTTGGCGAAACGCGCGTCCAGTGTAATAGTAAAAGTGTTTTGGTGTATTGTGGTGATTTAGTGTTTTTATTTTGCTGTGTAACACCAAAGGTTCCAACCTATGGTTCCAACCCTCAACTGTAATATGATTTGAGCATCTTTTAACTGGTCAGGACAAGACACTAAAAACAGTAGACGATCAAATTTATTTTTCCAAGGTATCTTGATTAAAATTAGTGTTTTTAATACAGCCATGACATTCTAGATTGAAATTTAAAATACGATTTTTTAAGCGAAAATGTCAAAAGTTGCCATATGATATGCCATTCTATTCAGAGTGTCATTTCATATCGAATAAAGTAAACACTAGAAAGTGTTTAGTGTGTAAAAGTTCTAATATAAAGGTCTCCGAATTATCTTTTCAGAGACAAGTAAAGTATTCAGTTGTTCTTTTATTTATATTAAGCCACATGCATACTTTCTAGTTAGATTTCCTAAGAATATTGACATTCGTACGGAGTGGCTAAATGTATTTTTTGTATAATTTAATTTTTGTGACAGTAAACATTCAATTTATTGTGCAAATATAAGCATTTTACAAATTAAATTTTTAAAATTAATGTTCAAATTTGGCGCGCGGACGATAGGCCCTCCACTAGGATAGATAAAATAGAAGCACCGCGTGTGCAACAAAAAAAGAAGATAAATGGAAGTCGTTGATATGTTTGCGACAGTTTCCATAGTAATTTACTTATCCACGTAAATATATATGATCTAGGGATATAACCATCAGATTTATACCGTATGATCGAAAGAAAAACTGACGCCCAGTTGGCTTGGAAATGACGATCGATGACATTTCCCATATAAATTTACATATAAAATTACAGCGACCTTCATTTCATAGCCATCGCTGACGCCGTTTTTTTTTCGATCATACGGTACTTAGGTATTTTTGCTTGTCATTTAGTTGAGAATACATTTATGTTTATAATGCACATATTATTATTACATAGTTATGGCGTTTTTCCTTAATACGGCAGTATAGGCAGATTCTTTTTTATAGAAAGATTCAAATATTGAATTCAACAAACTGCAAAACGACGGTTTTGTTTCTGGTATGAATGGCAGAACGGGTGCTAGACCAGTTGCTGAGGGTACCAATGACGATAGATCATTGCCAGGTTTCATTGAATATGATCCTGTAGAGTCGATGTACAAAAGGAGCAACCCTCATATACCTTTACTCACAGGAGTCACAAAAGACGAAACTAAGAAGGCTGTGAATGGTAAGATAAAAAGCCTGCACAGTTTTTCTTATTCAATTCGATCCTTAGAAAATATCATACCTAGTGACTGCACACCTGGTGCCAACATAAACAGTTATCGACGTCACAGAAGGGCTACACGACTAGATTCTGATTGATTTTATAGTTATGTTATATAAAACATTTTTTCTAAATACTCTAAATTTTAATAATGAATTAAAATGGCAGATAGGCACATTCAGTGACATATATTTTTTAAGGAGGAATACAGAGTGTCCCCGGCTGAGCGTGCATTATTAGTTTCTAGAGAACCACAATATCTAGATCGGAGATTTTTTGCACATCATTGTTTTACGAGAACTATCGATTAAAATATTTTCAATATGGTGGCACTTCCGGAAATACCGGAAGTTGACAACAACTTTCTTATTTTAAACGGGTGCCCCCATTTTTTATGACATACATAAATTCTCTGTAAAATTCTATGAATATTGACTATAACACTCTATACCTAACCTTAACCAAAGACTACACCCTTAATCGTTTTTGAGAAAAAAAATATTTAAAATTTTTGGACGAAAAAAACTACCTGTCAAAAAAAGATGTATAGCCTAAAAGTCAAATTTAGTGATTACAATAGCCACTGTGACATAAAGAGAGGGCCATCTATTTCAAAAATTAAATTGTTCAAAGGTCATATAATAACGGCCGCAGCTGTCGTGGAATTGAGCGATTAAAAATTTATCATAAATAATTTTTTTCAAATGGAAATCGGTATATAGGCATTTCACTAGTGAAAAGGCTTTTCAATTCCTTACTTTTTGACTATACATGTTCCTATACCTAAAATAAACCGTTTTTAAGTTATTTAAGGTTTAGTTTGAAAATAAATATTTTTCTTGATTTTATCTAGCTTCCTTTAACATTAAGTGTCAAACAGTCAGTCAATTTATTTCCATCTGTCAGAACACGAATTATTTCAATTTCCTGCCTGCTTAAGAGTTTAAAAAGTGTATTTATAAAAATACATCTCGTATTTTCGCTCTTTAGTGATATCTAATAGTTGATATTAATAATATACCTTATGATCGAAAAAAAAAACAGCGCAAAGTTGGCTTGCCAATGATAATCGATAACATACTGCTTTTTGAACAAAGTGTCACAATATGACATGGCCAGATCTATTGTTTTACATCACTTGTCGTTCAAAGTCATGGGCTACTGGTTATCTAGAAAAATATACGCTTTAAAACTAAATCTAACATAACTTAAAAACAATTTATTCTCAATTTATTTAAAAAATCTCCGATCTAGATATTATTGTAGTTCTCTAGAAACTTCTAATGCACGCTCAGCCTGGCACACCCTGTATATCTTCAATATTTCTACTAAAAGCCCAAAAAATCATTGGCCGAGTCTTTTTGAAATAGGCGGTCGCCGAAGGTTCCTACGAGAACGGGTTTGCTAACGAGTAACTGACTATTAATCGACACAAAGTTGCACGAATGAGTTTAAATTCGAATTGCTTTCAATGTATTGTTGTTAAAATAATTTATAATACTCTTAACGCGTAATGGTTCCACTGTAGGAACTCTGCCTCCGGCGACCGCTACGTGTGTTTTAGACATGAGGGCTATTTAATACTCCTATTAGTTGTCGATTTCAAAGTATTATGGGTTGTATCTTAGATTAGCGTTGTATAATCGGTTAAACTTGTTCTGCTTTTAAGGACACTTTAAGGAAGACATCGTTAAACGCCTGTCCTCAATACCAAACTTTCTGAGCAAAGTTTTAGTCTCTGAATTACAAAATATGGTTGTCTGGAACAAACTGACGGGCAAGGATGGCCTTCTAGGCAATATTTCTCTAGGAATAGTCGATAAAAACGGTAAACTGGAGCTGGGTTCTTTAAGGAACGTTTTGCCAAATAATTTTGATAATTACCTCAAAGTTAAGAGCAACGATATTAAGGGACAGCTGGATAAAATAGCAGAAGTGACAGGTAAATTTATTTTTGTACCTTATTTCACGAATGCAGGATTAATTTATGCAACAAATATTACTCTGGCCAAGGGCGTCAAGGGGGGATAAGAGGGGGCACTTCTTCCCACCGTCTGGAATCTGGTACTGGTATTATAATAGTCAAAATTATTATCTTATATAACTCCGCGGAGGAGTACTATTGTCGATCTTCGTATATTCCATATTTGGACTGTTGAATATTAAATATTCCATATTTCGTCGTCGAATACCCGTTTTTCAGACGAAAATGACGTATGTTTTTCTTTCTTTGGACTTCACTCCAGTAATATGAAAAAACATAATTTAAGCTCATTTAGACAGATTCTCTCGAATATACCAAAAAAGTGCAACATTGAAAACTTAAAGCGAGAGCAGATGGCGAAACTTAGTTCGAGATTTGGAAGAACAGAATGGAAAGTGAAACTTATGATAACACCATAAGTTATTTCTATTTGTTGGAAGAAACCACCTTTTTTTCAGCAATTTCTACAGCGATAAAAATAGGTCTCACTCTTCCAGCCACCACATGCTCGATTGAAAGAGCATTTAGCGCCTTGCGAAGGGTAAAGACATGGCTCAGATCTACAATGGCCTTTTAAATATCCATAGAGCTAGTTTCTTTTAAAAAAATCAAAATTTATCGAAGGAGTAGTCAACAGATTTGCAATAAATCCTAGAAGCTACTTTTTAAAAATAATTCTGAAGTAGAGTAAATAGTACTTTTTTGCTTAAAAGTTATTACGATATATAGGTATTTGTTAGTGTGTAAATTTCAGTTAACCCAAATATTAAGGTCCGTTCACACGGGCTGCGCCGCTCCGCGCCTCGCCGCGCAAAACTTTTTTTTAACATGTACTTTTGAAGTGTATTTTTTTTAGCGCGCACAAAAGTATGTTAAAAAAATTACTTGCGCGGCGCGGCGCGAATCGGCGCAGCCTGTTTGAACGCACCTTTAAATAAACCTATTTAGGCTAAATAGGTTTATCTAATATTTATTTAGTTATTTAGGTTACAATTTATTCGCAAATTTTGTTCATCATTATATTTATATACTTTTATACATTTCTGTATTACTAAACATTACATATGTTTCAACTAAATCCCCTTTAAATTATTAGTTGATTTTTCATTCATATATCGTCGTCAATATCACGAAGTGGCGTAACTCATTTTTTGATATTTTTCATGAGAGCGCAGCGGTTTAAAGTCTTTTATGACTTTTTTTTTAATATAATAATAATAGCTCCCGTATATAGCGTTTGACGCCTTGGGAATAGCAAGGTACAGCTTGCCATACTAGAGCCGTTCGGTATACAAGGAAGGTAATGTGGCTAGCACTACGCTTCAACCGCCTATTATTACCTCAGGATTGTGAATCCCAAGTACTCATTTAAGGCTGAGTCGACCTAGGTACCCAAACTATTTTTATTTTAATAAAAATAGTCGGCTGATGAAATGCCGGGTGGGTTCTTTTTTTTAATACTAGCCAAAATATATTGAAGCCACTGTTGTGTTTCTTTTTTGTTAAAGAAACACACAATATATCTTGGTTCGTATTGAGACAAAAGTACTAAGAAGCTTTAAACCGCTCGCGCTCTCCCGAAAAATATAAAAAAATGAGATGTCGGACGCCCTTGCTCTGAGTGATTTAGTTACGAGATTTAGTTAGAATAAAAAAGACATAATTAATTAAATCATATTAATCAACTCAATTTTCTTAGCTGATGCCTTGTTTAATGTACCGGCATTTCTCACTGCACAATTGTGGGCAGGATCACAAACCTTTTTGTACAGCTTCGAGCATGCAGGTAGAATGAACAAGGGCTCTAGTTTTTTAAAGGGTCTGCCCTTGATTGGAAACAGCTCAACAGGTATATAACAACAAATTTACTTCAAAATTTTAAGTAAAAAATATTTTTAGACGACAACAACAATATCGTAGGTCATGGTGACGAACTAGCATATCTTTTCGATGCACAAGACATTGATGGCAATCCATTACCATACCAAACACCCACCGATGATGACGTGAAAGTTCGAAACATTTTTCTTCGAATGATCAATGATTTTGTCCGTCACGGAGAAATAACAGTAAATGGTGAAAAGGCGCAATCTTTCAACGGTGTAGAAAACAACTACATTCAAATTGGTCCGAAACCAAAACTAGCTAACAAATTCCGTTTCTGTCAGATGGCGCTGTGGACCAACATAGGAGAAAGACTTAAAAGTTCTTCATGTCAATTCTTGAACGCCATCGGACTAACACCGGATCTACCAGGGTTAAACTTGATGTATAATAAGAACAACAGAGGCAATAATCCTACTGGTGGGATTTTAGGTCAACAGACCAAACAAGGAGGATTGAATATTTTCGGTTAAAAAAAGTATATGGAAAAAAACTACCTTATAATAAATTATATTTTAGATCATACATCTCTAACAGATAAAAATTATAACATACTTAGAATGTAATTTTAATATATATATATATATATATATATATATATATATATATATATATATATATATATATATATATATATATATATATATATATATATATATATATATATATATATATATATATATATATATATATATATATATATATATATATATATATATATATATATATATATATATATATATATTTTTTTTTTTTTAATAAATTCAGTCTGTGCTAATCGTTGTTTTGCTTATTTATAGCTGGAGTGTCTAGAGAACCATGCGAAGTCTTTTGTAAATATAGTTGCCTAGCCAAAGGAAACCAATGGAGAAATGAAGAATGCCCATCGTTCGAAAAACCTGTTTAAAACTGAAATCTAGAAAACAGAACACAAAAATCAGATATTAAAAGTGCATAGACTCCAACGAAAGAATATATAATATTCCTAACAGTTCTCTGTCATTTTCAATCAAATGTTTTTTTTGAAAATGATTTTCAGATGATGTCGGTCAAAATCATATATTCTCTCGCCGAGCAGACTTTACATATTATTATATTGCTTTTATTAGAATCCGCAATACAACAAACGATACGACAAAATTTACAGTGACAATATTTTACTTACTTATAGCGGTGAAAAGCAGAAAAGATAGGCCGGATAAGACACAAATCAGAGCATATTCTTTTGTAGATTCTCCTTTAACTGTCAATCCCAACAAAGAACTTCCGACATGTTGAAGAGCGGCTAAACTAAGTACTATCTGCACAGCCCCAAACAGTAATACACCTTCGCTTACATAGTCGGCGATCACTGAATCAAAAGAAATACAGAGATGAGTACATATTTTAAAAAATCGATAAATATTCAGTCCACTCTGGTGCGGTCGTTTATTCCATTGCACTAAATATTCTTAATTTTTATTGATGCGAACAACACGCGGTGTGTTGCGCACGTCGCACAGTGTTGCATCAGGTAGGGAATAAAGGACAAAAATAGTATTGTTCTTAATAATTGACAACAAATGATTTATTTATATAAAACTATGATTTATTTATGTATAAACACATAAATATTTAATATTTTAATTCTACCGCTTGGTATTTGTTTTAATACAGGGTGTTGAATTAGTCCCAGTAAAAATATATTCTAAAACATGAAATTAAATATAATAGTAATTTAATAAAAAAAATAACGGGGTTAAAAACTAGATACAGAGTGATTTTTTATAATGCTCTTCTTTAACATTGCTATACATTTTAAGTTTCAAAAAACTACATAATTATAAGTATGATTTATCATTATATTAAGCAGGCTAATTAGTATAGTTTTCACACATTGTCAAAAAAAAAAGATTATACAGAGTAGATCAAAAAGTAACTTTAAATATGCTCTTTTTTTACCATGGAAACTCGAAGGTAATACAGGTAGCATACCTACCATAAATATAGAATAAAATAACTATCATAACTTCCATAAATAGAGTATAAAATAGTCATATAAAAATTTGAATTTGTACTACTAGAATTTGTAATTACTAGAATCAACACTTTATACACTTATAAAAAAGGGGCTACATTTAAGTTGCCCTTTGATCCAGTCTGTATACTATTTCTTTGGGGTTTCTGCACGTGTGTGCGAAACTACACTAAACACACAGCTTTATAAAAAAACTTGCGTTGGATTTGAGGGATTTCATCTGAAAAATTATTAATTGTAAGAACAACGGCAACAAACGGCATAAAATAATATTTTAGTGCAGTCTGATGACCGATATATTCATGAAAAAAAGATCTCATATGTTTTGATATATATTTTTTAGAACCTTGGTTAAACTTTATTATTCAATATTTTAAAAAAGTAACGGTAATAAAATCATATAGGCATTGGTAAACACGCTTGGATAACAATCATAACTTATTTAAATATACAGTAACATGCATACATTCAAAATTATTCTCCATCATTCACCAAAACAATTAAGAACACGATGAATATCTTACTTAAAATTTAATTCAATGTAACAGTTCTTAATAACAAAATATGTTGACATGACGATCAAATTGTCTATTATCAACTATACCGAACGGCTCTAGCATGGTAAGCCGTACCTTGCTACTCCCAAGGCGTTAAACGTTATACCGTGCTGACAACTGTAACTTTTGGGTCGGTATTTACATGTATGGAAGTAAATCGCATAGGGATCCTATTAAGTCGGAGCGAGAGAAATGCGACGGTGTGCTGTTGCGTTGTTGCCTGCAAATCCACACAACCCAAGGCTGGTAGACAACTTTAAAGCAGCCAACAACACGCTTCGGAGAAAACTACGTCAACTAAAAGATAACTGGTGGTCACAGAAAGCTAATCAGATTCAAGAGTACGCCACGCATCACGATTACCGTAAATTCTTCGAGGCTGTAAAAGAAGTATACGGCCCAACCAAGAAGGCAAGCTGCCCAATCATGGCACAAATTGGCGAACTTCTAAAAGAGGAAGAGCAAATCAGAAACCGCTGGAAAGAGCATTACAGCCATATCCTTAACCAAGAAAATAACCCCAATATGGAAGCGCTAAACACAATACCTCAGTATAACAGCCTCGATGTATTAGATATCCCAATAACAGAACAGGAAATAAAGGCCTCCATAAAACAGCTTAAAAACAACAAATCAGCTGGCTGTGACGCGATTCCGGCGGAAATCTATATGTGTGCAAGTAAAGAACTTATTGGTCATCTTAAGGCTCTCTTCGATGTCATACGGGAAAGCGGAGAGGTACCTCAGGACTTTTGCAACGCAAATATAGTGAATATATTTAAGAACAAAGGAAGTGCATCAGACTGCGGAAACTACCGGGGAATTTCACTCTTGGCTATCGGCGGAAAAATTCTTGCAAAAATTATGTCAAACCGCCTGCACCCACATATAGAAAAAATCCTTCCAGAATCGCAAACGGGTTTTCGCACTAACCGCGGCACCGTCGATTCCATATTTTCCATCCGCCAACTATAGGAAAAAGTAAAAGAACAGCAGTCTAAACTTTATGTTGCCTTCATCGACCTAACAAAAGCCTTCGACTCTGTGAACAGAGATGCACTTTGGGCAATTATGAAAAAGTTCAGAGTACCCAACAAATTTCTTACAGTGTGTAAAAGCCTCCATAACAACAACCAGTCAAGAGTGTCACATCATGGATCACTAAGCGATCCCTTTCTGACAAATACAGGAGTTAGGCAGGGATGTGTCTTAGCGCCTCTCCTATTCAACATATTCATGGCAGCGCTCTCCATTATAGTGGACAGCAAACTGCAGGAGAGAGGACTGGGCATTAGATACAGATATGATGGCGGTCTGTTCAACATAAAAAGACTCAGGGCAAAAACACGTACAAAATTCATCACAGAACTTCAATACGCTGATGACTGCGTTCTAGTTGCAAAAACTGTACAGCAATTACAAGAAATGTTGAACACCTGGGCATACGAGGCTTTGGGCCTTAAGCTAAACATCGACAAAACTAAAATCATGTGCACTCCCCCGGAAGATCACAACAATGCTATAAAAATCGGAGAAGAACTATTGGAATATGTAGCGGAATTCAATTACCTCGGCAGTTTGATTTCGGAAAAGGCCAATATCGACTCTGAAATTCAGCACAGGATTAGCAGCGCCTCAAGAGCATTCTGGAAATTAAAAGACAGGGTTTTCTACAACCATGACCTGAGCACAAAAACGAAACTTGCAGTGTACCGAGCAATAATAATCCCCACCATGTTATATGGGAGCGAAACCTGGGTGCCGTACCGCCGACACATGAACGCATTAAACAAGTTGCAACAGAGACACCTTAGACAACTCTTAAGAATCAAATGGTTCCATCTCGTCTCAAACGTATCGGTTCTTGAAAAAGCTAACTGCGAGAGTATTGAAGTCATGGTTACAAAATCCCGATTAAGATGGGCTGGTCACGTATGCAGAATGCAAGAAAACCGCATACCAAAATCACTGCTTTACGGTGAGCTTGTAGACGGTAAGAGGAGGCCAGGTGGACAACTCAAAAGGTACAAGGACATTTTCCACGAAAACTTAAAGGGGATTAATGTGCAGAATGAGTGGGAAGTAGCAGCTCACAATAGAACTCAATGGAGAAGAATTGTAAACTCAGTTAACAGCGAGAACCAAAAAGTTAAGAGGCAACAAAGCAATGAGATCTTTGAATGTCCGGAGTGCGGTAGACAAATAACATCACGTATTGGGCTTTTCAGTCACAGAAAGGCTCATGAAAGAAAACGCCTTGCGTGACCATCTTCTGATGCGTGTCAAATACTCGTCAGCGAGTAATGGCAGTATGTATATATGTATGTGTTGCCGGTACGCCTTTCCCTATCAAGTAAAGTAAAATTACGATCGCAATCCGCTTATTTTTAAGATTTTTTTTCGAAAAGGTAACTAGATAAAATAATTAGATATGTTTCTGAGCATCTGAAATGGAATTATAAGGATATCGTTAGGGTGTACATGTTTTTTATAACGAGAAAACCTCAGTAATCGCGATAATTTAAAAACTCAACTTTTAACATAATAACACGCCATAACTTAAGAACCACTTTAGATATTCATGCTTTTTTTATTTTGAAGATCAGATCTCGGATCATTTACAATATGTTTACATAAGAAAAAATCGATAAGGTTGTTTTTTTTTCATTCTATAATTTTAAACAACCAATCCATTTACTTTTAGTGCATAGTAGTTTTCAGCAATCGTGTAACTTTTTTATTTATAAAGATTTTTACATACTGTCTGCGAAAAAAGTTTTTGGAAAACTACAATCAATTATTTTTAATAGATTTCGAGATATCGATTTATCGATTTTTGAATCTAGAGTTCTAGTAGCGCGACCACTATCGAACTTAATTCCATTTATTTGTTATCAAAAATGCAAGTGTTCCTAACTTGCACTTAAAAATTTTCAAGCTATGGGGAAAATTACAACTACCAGTTAATAAATATACAAATAAAGTATCACGGGGCGTAATTAAATTGTGAAGCTGAATCCATGATGTACACCTTTCCCTAGAACTTTAAGTACTGACAGATGTACTGATTTACTGATTACTGATTGGGTTAACCGGTCGACTGCGACAAATCTGCTATATCCCCTTCCACGTCTCTTAGCAATGTGCACAGTTTCTCGGTTTATTTCATACGTTTGGCAACGTGTTTACTGTTCTCTCTTTGTACAGTACATTATAAACGCATTGTATTCTTCTTACATACGGAAATCTTGACCCTAGACTAACCTTTGCCAGCCCTTAGTATACGGGAGCTATTATATTTTTTTAAATGTAAAAAAAATATTTGTTCGTGTTTTTGGATTTTGTTCATTGGATGCAACACTGTGCGTCGCATCGCATGCCCCTCTATTGCCAGCCTTAAAGGGCTTAAAGTAACATACTTAAGTATCCCAAGGCTCCTACCCATGTCAAAGCCATCATCATCTTGGGCCTGTGCCTTTTATCGATTTCAATCATAAAAGGAGCACCAGAAAACAGAAGGGTTGCTATTGATATGGCTCCTACTAGATTTGACAGTTGACGCATCTTCAAATCAATAACTTCCTAACAGAAGAAAAGTTCATTAATCATGGAATATAAATACATGCGTAACCTAATTCTAGGACTGTTCAGAATCGGTAATAAGAAAAATCAGAAGTAAGTTATTGCTATAAATATACTTACTTGGTAGAAGTAGCAAGGAAACATAGAAAAAAAAACAAAAAATGACCATTTCGTCGTGATGACCGTTATGAGTGATTTGTAGAACGTAGGTTGCCTAAGAACTTCACAAGTTGTCCTAGAAAATGTCTCAATAGCATTAGTCCTTTGCTGCGGCATAAAAACAGTTGGTTGTGACGAGTGAGTTTGGTCCTCTAAAATATCGTAGCTGTAAGTGTTGTTGTGGTTCACTGGAGTATCAGCAAACAACGGTATTGGCATCCTAAATAAAAAAGATATAACTTTTTTGAACGACTACTTTTTTATAATATTATATTACCCGTTGACGCTCATTGTTGTAGGTCTTTCTAGATCCTCGTCTTTGCCATATGACATTTCGAGATGTAAATTTTTATGATTTCTTTCGTTAGGATCATTTTTCTTTGAATTTTCAGGTCCATCAAAACTTTCCAAATTGACAGGTTTGTCGGCTTTGGCCTGCAAACAATTTTAGTTAAAATCTAGCTATATTTTATTGCGTTAAGCAACTTTAAAATCACTATAACCTCACTCAAAGGATCTGCTTTAGCTTTGCTGCCAGTCTCTTCGTCTTCGAAAGTTTCCCAGTCCTTGACTCGTACGTATTTTGACACTTCTTCGTCCTCTTCATCTTCAAATGTCACCCAATCCTTAGTATCTTCATTTTTTTCCTTCATATTTTCTGTTGATTTATCATGTTTGTTGGAATTTGAACTTTCCGCGCTAAAATTAAACGTTTACGCATGATAATTTCGAATAGTAACACGCTAAATTCTAATGATGTTTCTAAATAAAAATTTGCTCATTTAATTTCAATCCTAGTGAATTATTTATGCCGGTTAGTCGTAGCAGGTAGAAGCTACTTTATGTTTTGCATGCCAGTTAAAACGGAAGACCGAAGCAAACCGAAGTAAGATGTCCGTCCTTTTAAGCTACACGCACACTGGTGCGATCACGGCCGCGATCACGATCACGATCAGGGCAGCGATAACATGAACGATCATTCTAGCACACACCAACGCGTTCACGTTCACCCCCGTACCTGTGCGCCATCCTGTAGGTATACATAGGTACAAATTAAAAATGTGAATTATGTATACCGAAAAAAAAAACATTCTTAAATATTTATCTACAATATTTAAACTTAAACAATAAAAATGTATACATATGTACTATCTAATCCAATTGCAACTCCTATTTTGTCTCAAACTTTTTATTTTTAATTCTATTATTTTTGTTGGATCGGATAAATCATATAGAATTTTGTGTATTTTTACGGCCTTAATTAGCTACTCTGTTAACTTCATTTCTAAATTGCAACAAGAAAAACACACAAAATAACGGAAAATTCGTATCAGTTGGGTCGCGATCACGCGATCAAACTCGACAAGTTGAATCTGATCGCCACCGCAGAATAGAACGCCGCCAGGCCGCTTCGTCTCCAAAACTCGATCGCGCCAATGCGAAACGGCTCATATGTATTCTTCAGCAACTTTTGGCCGCGGCCGCGTGGAGATCGTGATCGCGGCCGTGATCGCACCAGTGTGCGTACGTCTTAATACGTTTGATATGTTTTGACTGAACAGGTATGATCTACTGATTGATACGTTTTGACTGAACAAGTAATGTTTGAGGGTGCTAATAAATTTGTTTAGAAATCCTTGTTGGCCTATAAAAAAATAGGGGTGAACCGCTTTTGAAATACACCGGGTATAATTTGCTAACATGCTAATAATGGTATACCTAAATATTATTCTTTCATACTATTCTTTTCAAGCTTTTGCAGCTCAATACAGCTGTAATGTTAAAGGATATCATATTTTTATTTGTACTTTCATCGGTATACGAATAAAAGAAATATTCTTTTAAAAGTATACAGGGTGGCGCACCTTATTCGCCTCGGTTGATTATACGAAAACGGGAAGATGTAGAAACAAAATATTTTATGGGTATATGTGGGAAGGCAATGTGCACAATTTAAAATTATTTTGAAATGTACAGGGTGTGTCAGAACTAAGATCCATACCAAAGTTATATTTTTTCTAATGGAACACCCGGTATTTTATTTCATTTTTGGATTCTTGAACAAAAAATAAGGTATTTATTATAAGGGTTTAATATGTTTAAAAGTTTTGGTTTTTGAGATATTTAAAGATATTTAAATATGCAGGCTATAATAAAAAAATTGTCAACAAGTTGTACATTACTTCTCAGAGTTAATTCTTGTGCCTGACTTTCATGCCAGAGAAATAATCTTTACTAAAGAATTTGATTGCTTTCTTAAATGTATACAGGAATACAGGGGTATCAAAAATTGCTGGTCTATTTTAAATATTTATTTTATATAAAAACTTCGTTATTTCAAAAACACTATGTATTTTTTTAAATAAGTCGAAGCAGATGTAAATGCTCTTTCAAACTATATTAGGGTTCTTGAACAAAAAATAAAGTATTTATTATAAGGGTTTAATATGTTTAAAAGTTTTGGTTTTTGAGATATTTAAAGATATTTAAATATGCATGCTATAATAAAAAAGTTTGTCAACACCCTGTTTATTACTTTTCAGAGTTAATTCTTGTGCTGACTTTGAAGCGAGAGAAATAAACTTTACTAAAAAATTGTATTGCTTCCTTAAATGTATACAGGGGTATCAAAAATTGCTGGTCTATTTTAAATATTTATTTTATATAAAAACTTCGTTATTTCAAAAACACTATGTATTTTTTTAAATAAGTCGAAGCAGATGTAAATGCTCTTTCAAACTATATTAGGGTTCTTGAACAAAAAATAAAGTATTTATTATAAGGGTTTAATAGGTTTAAAAGTCTTGGTTTTTGAGATATTTAAAGATATTTAAATATGCAGGCTATAATAAAAAAATTGTCAACAAGTTGTACATTACTTTTCAGAGTTAATTCTTGTGCTGACTTTCATGCCAGAGAAATAATCTTTGCTAAAGAATTTGATTGCTTTCTTAAATGTATACAGGAATACAGGGGTATCAAAAATTGCTGGTCTATTTTAAATATTTATTTTATATAAAAACTTCGTTATTTCAAAAACACTATGTATTTTTTTAAATAAGTCGAAGCAGATTTTAATGCTCTTTCAAACTATATTAGGGTTTCCTATACCTATCTGGCTCATATTTTGAATAAAAAGCGATTTTTCAATAAATTTGTAATCAAGATGGCTGGTGTCGCCACGGCAATTTTCTAGTGACTCTTAAAGCCCCGTTCTCAGAACAACGTAGTGTCGCGGGCGACAGAGTTTGACATTTCAAACAACCAATGGGAGCTGTACTAAATTTAAAATTCACAGCTGTTTGAATTTTGTACAAATCTGATTGGTTCTTTTGTCGTGTCGCTGGCTACACAGTTTGACATTCAATTCAAACAGCTGTCAATTTTAAATTTAGTACAGCTCCCATTGGTTGTTTGAAATGTCAAACTGTGTAGCCAGCGACACGACGCAGTTCTGAGAACGGGACTTTAGTAGCTATTTTCAAAGTCGACATTAATTTGTGGACTTTATTTAAATTTATAAGAGGTTATTTTTATTTAATTTACTTACAATAAGGTTAATAAATAAGTATTTATTATTTTACCGAGAAAAATGAAGCAGTATCTGCTGGCGGAAGGAATGGATATGTTACTAGTGGTTTTATTTTATGGGACAATTGCCTGTTGGCCTGAAGGGTTTATGCTCAAAGATATCCTAACAGGAATTCCAAAAGGAACAAGCGTTCCTTTGAAAAACTACTTTTCATAATTCGCAGATCTGATAGTGTGGTATATGAAAAATCTATTAAGCAGAAACCTGTCGTTGGAGGTGAAGAAAATGAATTTTCCTTAATTGGTTCTTTTATAGAAAATCCAATATATCTACAAGTCATCGTAATATAAATCAAAGATCCACTTCTATATTTTTCTTGATAAAGTAATAAATACTTACTTAATTAAATGATTGCAGGTAAATTTAATAAAAGTAAATTGTTATAAATTTAAATAAAAAAAGTCCATAAACTAATGTCGATATTGAAAATAGCTACTAACTGTCACCAGTGGCGTAGCTAGGTAACCAAGGGCCCTGGGGCAAATTAAAAAATGGGGCTCCACTGCTATGTATACTGATTAGGTTTACAATTAATGCTTGGTGTAGGTTTGGCTAATAAAACGAAATAGAGAAGATTTAAGGGTTTATTATACAGGGTGTCCCAGAAATAAATGCAAGTATTAATAAAAAATAAATGCAAGGGGTGGTAGATCTCGATAAAAGAAACATATTTTTTCTTTACCGTTTTTCAAATAAGTCCAAAATAACGGAGTTATTTTACTTTAAAAATTAAAAAAAATGATTTTTTGCTAAAATTTTGAGAACCACTGGATCTTTTCTAGATTTTCTTTCATGTAAATTTAATCTAATATTTATGTTGCAATATTATCAAGAAATTATGTTTTTTAACTAAAAAGTAAAAACATTTCCAAAATTTTTTTAAAAAATATTGCATTTTCAAAAAAAAAATTCGCGAAAAAAACCTCATAGGAGTGTCTCTGGGGTTGAACTTTACTACCAGTTAAAATACTTGCACATATTTCTGGGACACCCTGTATAAAGGTCGGGCCTACCAACACAATTTTTTCCTAGCTTTAGTTTTCGCAAAAGTATTAATGACTTCGTTTAAATCCAGGCTTGATGCGGTTTTATTTTCAATTGCTATTAGCGATAAATGTCGGAGTCGAGTTTAGCCCATATTATTTCTTAAATAATTTTTTATTTTTTAAATTTGCTAAATGACCTTTCAGCTGCTGCAGAAGTGATAGAAATTGTAAAGAATAATAACATTGCTGTAAATACTTCCGTTAGGTCGCATTATAGCACTCCATATTTGCTCATTATTTCCTTACATAGTTGGTGAACAGTCCATGGGTGAGTTAGTTGAGGTAAAACTAGGTGGTAAGTATTAGTAAATTGAAGTGAAAAACTACGGCCTATTATATCTGAATATTTTCTTTGGAATTCGTCACACTTTTGTAATAAAGTTGCTTCATAATAAAAATGTTGGTGTTAGAAAATCGAATATGTATATGACAGACTGCACTCATACCAATAAAACGTGTATCTAATTGAGATATTAGCTTTTTTCGTTTTCCTGTTATTACCGATTCTGAACCGTCCTAGAATTGTGATGCGTATGCGCAGAAGGAAATATGAAGACATTATTTCATTTGCGCATGCGCTGGAGAGTTCTAGGACGATTCAGAATCGATAATAACAGGAAAACGAACAGACCTAAAATTGTGTGTAGTACATTATTGAAAATCTCAATTTTAAATATTTTTCTCGGTTTGGAAATCGGTGAGGAAATCTATAGATTTGACACGATTTATTGCGGACATCAATATGAGTGGTAAAATCAAATAAAATTGAACCACTATATTAACCAGTACAAAGAAGTTTATTGACATTGGCTTACTTACTCCTGATAAAGCATTCATTTTATTAACCGTTCCCGAAAAAAAAAATCTTAACTCGAATTCACAATAAAACGGACATCGATGAATAGTAAAACGGACATATTACTATCCGTCAAATTGCTAACACTGCCAACCTACAGAAAGAATTTAGGGGAATTCCCTAGACATAACTTTTTGAATTTCTCTCAACTGAGTTGTCATGATTAAAGTGGGGTTGCAACCTGTCATATTTATTTTGAAAGTGG